CGGGGGGGGGTCTGGTCCCTACCCCGCCGTATAAGCGGTGCCCTACTGTATTTAATGATATGATAAGATATGCATGGTTTTCTTCAAAGTTTATAACGGAAAGAAGTGTATTTATGAATATAAATCAAGTATGCTTCCCTAGTGGAGTAAGAAAGATTAAATGCAACTGTGAATATTCAGCATTCATAAAATGTGTTTGGTGCAGGATATACTTATGTTTTGGTTACATTTATGATATGTATCACCTGAAAGGGTGTTTGCATTGATTCACTGTCGATGAAGATAATTAGTATGTGTTGAATATGATACTGTACTTAATATGAGAACTTCAGGAAAGAAAAAAAAAGATAAACCACCTGACAGATCACATCACTGGTATGTGCAGAGAAAAATTTGTTTACACTTACACCCAGTGAATAAAAGGTTGTAATACTGTTTTGGTACATGGTTTTCAGTTAACATCAATAGGAAATAATTATATAAATAAATGTACTTCACTTGTGAATCATATACAGTGAAACCTCGATGCATCATTTTCGACGGGGGTGGGAAATAAAAACGATGAATGCGGGAAAACGATAGATGCGGGAAAGCATTAAAAATTTAAAAAAAACAATGTTTCTCTTTCAAAGTTACTTCTTTTTACCAAAAAAGTCTTTAATGGACAACTGGTTTGTTGAAACTTTACGTTTTAGACCAAACAGAGCACTTATAACAGGAAGAATGGAAATACTATTACTGCGGAACTCAACGAAACGTAGCTGTAGAAGACCCAGAACCGCTGGAAACGAGATGAACCAGAAGAATGAAAAGTGCCGCCAGCCTTTCCTTTGTACTTGTAATAAAAGCATTTGTGAAGAAATTCACACTGCACATGCCATCTGGCATCGCTGGAACGAAATATGAGTGCACCCTAATTAAAATCGTAAAATTTCTGACAATGGGCACCGCCATTCACTCCAACTATCACCCCTGCACCGCTGACCCTCATTCCAAAAGAATGTGCTGGTTGGGCGACATAACAGGTTACCGCTACTGTTTATTCCAAAAACATTGTGCGTCTTTCGGAATTAAATTCTAAAAATATCACGTAAATTTCGTTACAATTTCTCAGAAACGATCATTGCGGGAAAATTGTGGGCCGGGACTAAGATTTTTGAACGATCGATGCGATAAAACGATAGTTCGAGGAACGATAGAAGCGGGAAAATGTAACATTATTTTATATGGGATGTATTCGGGACCGAACAAAACGGACGATGCATCCGGGAAAACGATAGTTTCGGGAACGATGGATAGAGGTTTCACTGTATATGTACAGGGTTTCTGACAACAGAATGTCCATAGCTTAACTACGTGCTCTTGGGATCATTTTGAGTTGAAAAGTTCAAATATCATGGGTCCGATCTGCAATGGTTTGTCAAGAAAATGAGCATTTTGTTGCATTTGTGACTTTGACATTATTTCTATTTAATTTTAGGTAATGTTGTTGTTGTCAAGCTTAGACTACACTCTAAATTGCATTTTCAATTACTCTTGTTATTTACATGACTCAAAATGGCCACCCTGATTGTCGGTGTACAGTTGAGCCCTTCGTGTAATTGAAGTAACAACCCTCTCCACAGAGTCATGCTCATTTTTAATGTTAGCACTGGAGTCCATTATTCGTTTCAGCAGTTCAGCTCTACTTTTTGACTTGATGACATACACCAGGACTTTTATGTGACCCCAGAGAAAGTAGTCCAAAAGCAAAAGATCTAGTGATTTCGCAGGCCAAGCGACTGGACCACCTCAGCCAATCCAATGGTCTGGAAACTGTTAATTCAGAAATTTAGTCACCTTCCTACCAAAATGAGGAGGTGTGCCATCTTGCTGAGCCCCATCTCTTGCTTGATTAGCAGAGGAACATCTTCCAGCATCAATGGCAGCGTTTCCTGTGGGAAACTCAAATAGCACTGAGTTGTCAAGTGGTCTTCAAGCACTCACTGCCCTGTTTCTTGCCTACGTGCACCATGTGTGCAGCTTAGTGAACTAATTTCTCAAACATAGCTAATGCATAGTGAGTGCGGAGCATTTTCTTGACAAACTGTTGCAGATTGGACTGTATCTGGACAAGTCCATGGACCTTGCCCCAGCTTGTTTCCCTAAGATATTATCTAAACTATGAAGGAGATCAGTTTTTAAAATTTATATTTCACAAAGAACATGGGCTGGCAACCCTGCTTAGTGTAAATTTTCATTGAGGGTGTTTGATTTACCTCACCCCATCATAAATTGTTTGGCATCTTAGATGTTTCCAGAAGGTTGTGTTCCACCCTCACACCCTGTTTCTGCCCAACTGTGGCTAACCAATAGGAGAGGAATTGCTCTCACTTGAACTGGTTGGTTGACCAAGAAGCGGACTAAGTTCTAATCTGGCCGACCAATTACAATATGCAGATTTAAACACATTAAATGTGTCTTTGTTTTTCTTAGTGTTTGTGACAGTAAAAACACTTGCAGCTTGGTCCTGGTAGACAGCAGTCACCCTTCAGTGCTACTGCGCGGATAATCAGTTTCCAGTTACTAACTTATCCGAGAAACGGCCAAAAGAAAAGTTATTCAAATTTCTTATATTTTTGTATTGTGTGAACTTCAACTCCAATAATATTTACTGGCTTATTTCAAAATGCAGCATGATTGACTGCATATCCATATTCCCTAGATGACCTCATGACTAACAGCTAGCCAGGACCCACTTAAACATCACCTCACTCTGGTTTACCATTACCTTACCAATAATGGCCCCATCCCTGAAGGGGGGGGATGAGGAGGTGTATGGGTGCAGGGCCCATGTTTATTTTAACTTTTTGACTCAAAATTATCCCAAGTGCACATAGTTAAGCTATGGACATCATGTGGGGCACACTGTATATAAAAGTATTAAGTAAATTGGTATACCTCACTTATCATTCATTTATACTGTGATCATATTGAATAGAATGAATTAAAAAGATTATTCATGATGGTTTTCTTAAATGTTTGTTAATGTGAAGGGAAAAAAACAAGCCCCTGAGTTTGAACCTGGGACCTCTCAGTTAAGGAATCCACTATCTCATCCTCTTGGCCACTCTGCCTCTTGAGAAGCAAGTTCAACTAAATCTATAGTCATGTCAAAGGGAAAACTTTCAAAGCATGTATTTCAGAAACTATGGTCCATAGGGCATTCATTCTTATTTTCATGTGTGAAACCTTTGTTGGAATTTTCTCTTTATTCATTCTTATAAAATGTTCATGCCATGTAATTGTATTTGTTTGCCTTTCAGAGTGTGTATCTTCAGATTATTTCTAATTTTTACTGTTTTATTTCTCTTTTGGTTTTTCTTACATACATCTTAAAAATATTATTTTTGCTGTTGTTAGTCTTCTTATATCTGCCTTGGTCCATGGCAGCAAAGTACTGAGTAACATTTTATATGTAGCTTAAAATTATGATTGTCATGTGACATTTGTTGATGAAATTGTGCTATGTAGTTTATCTGTGTTAGATTTTAAATAATACAGGATTGTAAAGGCATACTCTTTTAGAGTACACTGAAATTCCAAAGGTGTTCTTCATGCCACAGTACAGGCAGTGACAACAGCAGGTTGCTTTGTCGATAATGACGACTCAAAGGGACTGTGGACAGTTGCTTTGGTTCCCATTGTTGCATCAGTGTGTTACAGTGATGGCCCCAGGTCATGTGGGTTGTCTAGTTTCTTGGAGAAATGTGACAGAGTGGATGGGCCCCATACAGTGTTTTTTACTCACCAGAATGTGAAGAACAGCTAAAAACATCAATTCATATTACCATTGGCCAAACTGCCTGTGATATGGATTTATGATATTAGTTTACTTGAAGTTTCGGCTTTTGTTTGGTGTGCTCCATTTCTATACTTTAGGTATGCAAATAATAAGCCATGTTTTGGAGGCACACAAAACTCAGTTTTATTATTCCAGAAGTGAGACATTAGTGCCATTCCTGAAATGTACAATAAATGCAACATAAGATCAGATGTAGGTACTCTTCCCAGATTAGGTACTCTGCCCATTGTAAACTGTGACATCTCCAATTTCATGTTTGATATTATTGTAAACAGTTCAATAGAGATTTCACTCTGTTCATTGTATGTTTTCTATCCTAAGATTAGCTGTATTGATTTTGTGCATGATAATTATCGTATTAAACATTTTATACTGTACAGGGGAGCTGTAGCTCTTGATGGACGCATTGAGCCAGGTGATATGATACTGCAAGTGAATGACATTAATTTTGAAAACATGTCGAATGATGAGGCAGTTCGTGTCTTGAGGGAAGTTGTCCAAAAGCCGGGGTAAGTTACATCATTAGACAAGATTTCTTGACTTGAGGCTATAATTTAATGAACTCTTGGACAGAAAACCTAAAATGCATGCAAATAAAATTTTATGACATAGTGGTGGTTCATGAATAAAATTACAACTGTGAAAATGGCACTGTGAATTAGCTTCTCAGGTGAAAGAATTATTGAGTCAGCTGAAATAGAATTATTGAGGCCAGTGGCTGCATTTATCTACCTAGATTTTAAGAGAAATACAGAAATATGAAATCATTTTGATATCTGTAATCTGAAAGAGGAAATAGAAAACTAAGAAGAGCATATTATAAGAATAGGTGGAAACAGACTTCCAGAGATGCTGTATTTATCCTTATACCACACACACCTTTTTAAAAATTTTCAGATTTGAGAACTTCATTTGCTTAGCATAAATTGTTATGTATGGGTTGTACAGGACTTGGCAGTATACTGTTTAGCATCATTTACATGATGTTTACAAACTGTTAAGCAAAGCAAGAAGCTTGGTTTTCAGAATTTTCCTTTTTATTACAGCAGAAAATATGGAGTGGGATTGTGTTTCAGTTTTTGTTAATCTCTGTAAGACATTTCTTGCTAAATATAACATTATCAGCCTCGTTGTTCTTTCATTTACTGTAGGGTCTCAGAACTGTTTTCACCAGTTGTAATTATAGCTGTTGGAACTAGATTAAAGTAATTGATTGTAATAATTTACTGGTTGTGAGAAAATGGAAATTTTAAGAAGAACAGAAAAAATAGGGAATCACCAGAAAGTATTATGTTAGAGGAAGTTGCATCTGAGACTGCATGAAAAAGATTTTTTTAATAGTTGTGGTTAGTATTGTAGGATTCACAGTTGCTGATGTTTCAGGCATGGTTACTTTAAGTGGCAAGCCAATCAGAGTGGTGCAGTGTTGCCTAGTTAAAGAATTACAACAGCTTGCTTTGAGGGTCATAATGCGAATATCACTTGTCCTCCAAGTATTCATGATTCAAATCAAATATTAGACAAGAAGCCAGTATATTTCTGAATGTCTTGGAGCAAACCTAATGTTACTTTCCCCAGTTGCTGATTTATTATGTCTGTTTGAATCAAATTGTACTTTACTGTGCATTTTGTGTTTCAAAATATCACAGTTTAGTCTGGCTTCTAAAAATACAATATTATTGCTAGGTAAAATGGTATTGAATTGTTTTTCAGAAAGATGTTGGTTCAAAGGACATGTGTTTGGTCTAACTGTTTTGTGCTTTGTGGTGTTTGTATACCATGTGTTACTCATCTTTGAATGAGACATTGCATTGAGTTGCATGGAAGAGGCTGTGAGCTTCATACCTCTCACTGACTCAACATTCATGTTATCAATGAGTGTTCCTGTTTTTTTAGTCTAAAACAAGTAGCCTGGGTTTTCAGTGATCCATGTACAAGTGTTGAATGAAAGGTTTTGTCATGCTTGTTAGGAATAGCATTGTGGAACATTTTGGTATTCTCTCATTGCAAATATTATATCAAAGTGTGTTCGTATTAATTCATAGTAAATTTTTAAAGCTCTACAGCAAGTTGGTACATTGCTCATGGCCTTAAATAAGTAAGAGTACAAGTGGTGGTGCTTCTAGTAATGGTGGTCATAGTTAGGAAGGAATAGATTTTAGATGTCATTGATTGGTTGAAACAGAATCAAATTCACTTTCCAAAGAACAGAAAATGTGTGTGTTCTGCAGACACAAAACATAAACATATGAGCTGGATCAGCTGGCTATCTAAAGGAGGTGCAGGTGATACAACTTCCTATCATTATCACTAAAATACTATAGAACTTGTGTGGTCTGAAGTAAAATGGGAAATCACAAAACAGAATAAAACATGCACAATGGCAGAAGTTGAAATATAATTGACTGATGAAGTTGATTTGGTGACACAAGAATACTGGGCTTCCTTGAAACATGTTTGAGAATTGTGATGAAGATAACAGTGACATTACTGGTGTTGGGGGAGGTATGATATTGATACCCCATTTGCTTCTCATGGATTAAAACAAAATTTGGTATTTTTATAAGCTTGTATTATATATATATATGTGTGTGTGTGTGTGTGTGTGTGTGTGTGTGCGTGCGCACACATTCCTTCTTTTTATCACAGCTTATTGTTCTGATAGATTCATGTTGACTTCAAGTGCAAAGTCATTAGCATTATTGATTGTTTTTAAATGTCAGAAGCTGTGGGTCTTAAAATAGTGGGCTTTTCATGGGCAAAACATAAAAGTTGTAGACATAGAAGAAAAGCTTTTCATATTTAAATCAGAGGTGATGGTTTGGTTATGCAGTGAGTGTCAAGTGATATGTTTCAGTTTAGAGTGCAAAAAATATGAAATACAGGGCATGAACACAAGGTAAGGTTTATTTCAGAAGTCTTTACAATTAAACAGTAAAGGTTGTGAACAGCTATTACACAGAGGCTTTACAATGCGCATGAAGAAAAATTATTAGCATTTTAAAGGTACAGGTACCATAGTTTGGGACACTGGTGATGAGATCAGTTCAGAAAACAAGTGATAACAACAGCAGAGCATACCAATAAATGTAAGTACAGTAACATTTTTTTATTAATTTCTCATGGTTTTGCAGTTTTGTCAGACATCAAACATTCTTATGTTGATTTATAGAGTGAGATAGCCACATTAATTTATCAGTTTTTAGTCTTAGATATTAGTTTTATAAAAAAAATATTTCTTAAAAATGTAAAAAATAAGGGTGCATATCTTATTCTGGGTTGCATAGTCTTTGGATAAATGCAGTGCTGTTGAGTACATAGAGGTACATGAAACCCTGAGACAGGGTGGAAAGATAATTCACCTGAGAATGGAACAGGCTATAGGACCTAATTTTTGAAGACGAATTTGAAGTATTGACATATTGTCTTACTTTTGGGTGATCTGTGGTTTGGGAGTGAGGGATAATAGAGGGGATGGAAATGCGTAACTATCAGATAGCCATTGTTAGATCAGGTTTGACAACATAAAATTTCAATTCCTTGTTTTATGAGTAGATTGTTGTGAGTGTGGGGCCACAGGACTGTGGCTAACTGCATCAGTCAGCTGCAACATTTTGTTACTGCAATAGTTATATTTCGCTGACATTTTGCATAACTTAATATGCTTGAGTGTGTGCGCGTGCATGTGTGTGGTCACCTACATGATTACACAGTGTTACACAAAACCCAGAAGATCAGAATCTACTAGTTGCAGGAGCATGAAAACCTCAAATCCCACATTGTTTAAATTGTCTAATTTTGCATTTTTTAAAATTGAATACCATACACCCAGGACTGTACAAACAAGCAAGAGACTTGGTTTATAAGATGTTAAATTATTTCAGGTGGACTATGGACCATTGCATTGAGTTGACAAGTTGCACTGCTTAGGCATGTGATGTTGGACTTGGGACAGTGTAGTGGATGGTTAAAAGCAGGAAGACTGATGTGTAATAAATACACAATAATATGTATAATTTATCATTCTTCACATTACAGTGCATAACAGATTCTAGCAGAATCTCACTACCCTTAAATCACCCATATGCCATCTTTTGTGTTAACCCATGTTATTATATTTTGATTGGGAATATTTTATGAGCAGTATGTTCAAAAGTGTAAAAAATGTGTACAGCTTATGCTTCTCAGGTTTTTTTTCCATGGATTCATGGTTGTACATTGGAATGCATAAGCACAAACCTCAGTAACTGCTGAGCTCTAACATGAGCTTTAATTTTTCAGGCCTATCAAATTAGTGGTTGCAAAATGTTGGGATCCCAATCCAAAAGGTTACTTCACAATTCCTCGAACTGAACCTGTAAGACCAATTGACCCAGGAGCTTGGGTGGCACATACAGCAGCTATAAGAGGTGATATACTCATATCCTGTTGTATATTATGTCATTGTTACTTAAATTTTATTTGTCAATTAAATACACATAAACATGGCTTTCAGGAGAATCACTTCCAGTCCGGCCTCCATCTGTAACGACTCTTACCTCTACCAGCTCTTCCATAACATCAAGTTTACCTGACACAGAACGTAAGTCATCATTTGACAATATATTTGTCTGTGTAATGTAATCATTATTTGTAAGTAGTAGCATAGAAGCAAGTGTGTATAATTTTTTATCCAGTTATGTATTCCATCATGTGATAGTTTTGTGTCAATGATTGTAATGATCCATTATACCAATATTAAGTTTTATATTAATTTATTTTAACTAATTATTTTCATACAAGTTATGTCTTTGTTGTTTCTTAACTTTCAAAATCTTTTGTAAGATGTATCATACCTGATTTTTATTTACATTTTAGTATACAGTAAATTTGAACTTGGGATCACTCAGGTGGAGGAAAGTTTGTGTGATGAAAATATTTCATCTTTACAGGATTACTAGAAATTTGTGATAATATATCATTAATTTACAATCTTTCAGTAATTACCCTACTGTGCAGTACAATCTTGATTATCCTGTTTGTAGATTGTGTTTGCTGGATAGCAAATATCTAATTCTTTCTTGTGTCTCAGTCTGTTAGTGCCTGCTTTATAATTATATGATTCCTGAAGGAACTGATCGATTTAGTGTGGACAGATGTTTAGTTTGAAGATGGCTGTCTTCTGGGGTATAACATCATGTAGACTGGTAGATAATGACTGATGTTTCAGAGGAGCGAACTCCTTATTGTTGTGAGAACCTCAGATCACTCCATTTGTTTAATTTATTTATCTTACTGTGGCATATGCAATAAGGACAGGGTTCAGTGTAGTATACAAATTTAATGGTAATAACAAGGGAAAGATAGACTCAAGGAGTCACATGTTCAAGGACAAATGAAGATATAAATCAACACTGAACAAATTTGTTATGAAAAAACTATGGACAGAGTTAGTTTTTCATCTGACAGTCATATTTGTCTCATAGCACATTATCATTAAAGGAATTTACTGTAGTTTTGTCTTATCATTTTTGTGGTTATGTTTTGAATCTGCGTGTGATCTGTTTTATATGTTTATTGTTATTATGTCTGTGCCTATTATAGGGCCATTTGAAGAGGTTCAGCTGACTGTGAATACAGACATGCCAACCATAGTTCGTGTCATGGCTCGACCTGACTCAGGACTTGAGATTCGAGACAGAATGTGGCTCAAAATAACAATACCAAATGCTTTCATTGGTAGGTAGTACACAGACATATACTACTTAAATTTGTAAAGATTTACTGACAACAGAAAGAATTTTATATAATATTTAATACCGTACACACCAAATCTAAAAGTTCTTGACAATAAATAATAAAATATAAAACATAAAACGGCTGGATAGGGATTAGCTCTATCTAGTGGGCCCAACTGAGTAGGAACCAGAAGACGGAGATAGAGCCCCATCTCCGAAACGTTGTTTTACGTTTTATATTTTATTTAGTAGACGATGGATAATATCCAAGAAAATTTTTATTCAAATGACGTACATACCAAACAATTTAAAAAAAATTACTACCGACATTCTGTTGTTTAGCAAAAATTATTTATATTAATGTGTTGACTAATGTAATTGTTGTTTTTATTTATTTATTTTTAGATTTTCTAAGTATTAAAACAGATTTTCTAAATAAATTTTAATTTTTGTTCAAACCAAATAGACACCAATTAAATTGCAATTTGGTAAAATCACCCCTGGATAATCTGGAGTCTACTGTAAATTTATTTTTTTAATGTCTAATGTATGGTGTTGCAAAAAATACAAAATCATGACTAGTTTGTCAAGAAGAAGCATTAATGGCATATTTCATTGTGCTGTAATGTTTAATTGGAGGAATAAAGAAAAACAATGAAGAATACTTAGTAAAGGTACATTGTCAAAGCAGGGATTAAGTTGCTTAGTTGATTAGTGTTTAATTAGGTGGACTTCTTTCTGTCAATACATCAAACAAGAATTTGTGTAGAAACTTAAAAACCAAAAGTGAAGGTAATCTAAATTTTACAGTTCCATTTTTACTGTTCTAGTTATACAGGACAATTAAAAAACAAATAAACACTTTCAGATGTTCATGAAACACTCAGGATGCATGTGATGGTAAATTCTTATGTTATAATTAATAGATAAAATTTTAAAGTTTTTTAATAGCTGCCATAATTTAATTCCCTTCCCACTTACCAGGGTCACACATGTGAAAATGGCTTCTCTGCAGGAAACAGGATATTGTGTTATCCAGTTTGATAAGACAATTGTGGAGTGTGAGTATGATAAATGTTACAGAAAGGGACCACCACAACATAAATCAGTTTACACCTGGTGTAAGCAGTTTGAAAATGAAGGTTGTATCTGCAAGGGGAAGAGTCCAGGTTACCCATGTGTCACTGATGAAGCAGTGCAACATGTAAGGGATGCCTTTCAGTGCATCCCATGGAAGTCAGCAGAGGTAGCCATGAGTTGAATTTGCCTCAAACAGCAGTCTTGTGTGTCTGGAAGCATTTACTTTTGAAAGCGTAGAATTTGCACCTAGTGCATTTGTAAAAGTAGAATGATGAATGCAAGCAGCATGACTGTGACTTCAAAGATAAACTGGAAGAAAGACTGGTGTGGCAGCATGGCTTGTTTTAGTGACCATGCCATATTTCACATGAGTAGCAAAGTCAACTGCCACAGTGTTTGTATTTCGGGTTCTAAGAGTCCTCATCAAATCAGGCATGAATGCATCTGCCCAAAAGTGAATGTGTTTTGTGCCATTTTACTTAACAGCATTTATAACCATTTTTATTTGGCCAGAAAGTTATTCAGTGGGAGCATTTACCTGGACAGATCAATAAATTGGCTTATGTGTCAACTTTATCAAAATTCCTTTGACTTCAGCTTCCAGCAAGATGGTGCACTACATCACTTTCATCTAGAGATGCAAGAACATTTGAGTTCTACATTACTACAGTGATAGATGGGATGTAGTTCCTAAGAAGACATTTGGTAATCCTGGCTACCCCTGTCACCAGACCAAACACCTTGTGACTAATTTTGATTGATGCTGTGTTTGTGCTACCATTGCCAACAGACATTTCTGAACTGCAGTGTAGGATCATTGAACCAGTGTTTCAGTTATGAGGGACATATTGGTGAAGGTCTGGGAAGAAATTAAATATTGGATTGATGTCTGCTGTGTGACTTGTGTGTACATCAAATGCCTCTAGTACTAATAGGAAGCATTCAGAGATTCTCTATCAGTCTCTGTATGTCCTATGAATAGTAAATGCCAGTTTTAATTTCTATGAATTTTTCAAAGTGTTTACTGCTTTTTAAATTGCATTGTATTGGTTTTACTACCTTGACTCAGTTTATAGAATTTAATTTTTGGTAAAGGTGTGCACCATGTAAAGGTTGTGTTGATATTAATGCTCACAAGGCTTTAAGAGGTGGATGGTATCCCTTACAAGGCTCAGAAGTAGTTGTACTTCTTTCCTATGGTGAACACAATTCCTTCTAAACTAAGTTTGCCTTCATAAAATCAGTTTGGAGAGTGTTATATTCTGCAGTGCTGATTTGCAACGTAAACATTGTTTCTGTTTTTAAGTATCTGCTTATACTTTGTGCAGGTTGCGATGTTGTAGACTGGTTACATGCTCATGTAGAAGGTTTCCTTGATCGTCGAGATGCTCGCAAATATGCTTCACAGATGCTAAAAGCTGGCTACATTCGACATACTGTCAATAAGATTACATTCTCAGAGCAGTGTTACTATGTTTTTGGAGATCTCTGTACAGGTAAGTATGTCAAGCTTCTGTTTTGATGAATACAGTATTGTTTTTTCTCTTCCATATTTGAGATTATTTTAAAGAGAAAAAAATTCATAGCGTCATTAATCCTTTGCAGTCCTATGTCAGACTGAGTCCGCCATTTAAAAATCTGAGTTCCAGTCCAATGTCGGACTGAGTCCGCCATGTATTTTATGAATTTTATACGTGATCTGGAATCAAACTGAGGCTGGAAAACAGTGTCAGCATATCATTCAAGCCTTCTTATTTGCACTAGTTTTATCCTAGTTTCCCTGGTATGTGTACCTTATAATAGTGAAAGGAGGCAGGAGAGAAACGTTGTTTTATTCTGACACGTGTCCAAGACAGCCATGATTCCACACTAAGTGTCTTGCCATACATCATATAGTCAAGGAATACCATTGGGTGTGTAGCTGTCATATTTACTTACAATATAAATATTTTATATCTGATAAAGTTATAAAAGAAATATTCCATCTTCCTAGTAGGAAATTCTATTTTTTAAACTATTTTTGACGCATAGAGCCATCCAGCACTGGTATATGCATATTAATTCGTCTTCTTATCTAGCATTCTTTATGTGTAGTGACTTCATCATTTACACTTTGCGTTCTATTTCAAATGTACGGTGTTGAACTTAGTCTTGAACTTTCAAACACAATCAGCGCGAAAGGTAGCATAGCTCTTAGATTGTGAAATCCAATGCTTATACATCGTATATCTGTAAGCAATAAGGGATGTTTAGACGTCGCCAAAGTCATATCTACCAATTTGGTCTTGCTTTATTCTCTACTGAATGACATCAAGCAGAAAAGCAACATTTACTACACATCTCACTAGTGACAGTGGTACAGTCTGTGGAAAATATTTCACACAGTTAGTATTCAAACAAGAGGAACTGTGATCCTCTCAGAACATATTTTCACCATATTTAGCAAAGTTTCTTCCATTTTATGCAAGTTATAAAAGAAAATCAAACCAGTTCATAATAGTTGTTGAATTTATACAACTTTGCGATATTTAAACAGATCAGCATTTAAAGGGGACCACAAAGGGTTAACAACAAAGACGAAGTGTTATATCCATTTACATTTCTTCAGTTAATCAGGATCTGTAGATGTGTAATAAACTTCCTTGTGGGCGGATAGCAGCAGATTTATTGATGAAGTTTGTATGATGCATTTAAAATCTCTGTGGCTGTGGCTCCTTGTTTTGTTATGAATTTTTTACTTTTACTTTCCTTCATTAATGAAGTTCATCAGAATTATGTTGTGATGGCAACAGCTTGCTTCATGAATAACCACAAGTCATGAAGTGTTGACTTACATCACTCTTACTGTAAATAAATAACTTGCAGCAATGGCATTCAAGGTCATTATTGTGAGCCAGCAATAATGTTGGTTCCTATTGCTGCAGCAATTTTACACCAGTGAACTTGGTTCCCATTATTGTAACTGTTCTCCAACAATGATCTCCATCCCCATCCCCATTATTGTAACTGTTCTAATAGACCTTGGTTTTTATTGTTGAAACATTATTCTGATAATGACCCCAGGTCATGCTGGTTGCTTTGTTAATAGGAAATATGTGACAGGCAGTCATAGATGGGCTTGTAAGGTGTTCTTCACTCAATCTAGAGCATGAAAAACACCTAATTGAGAAATATGTGATCCTGTTTGCATAGAATTTTTAATAAATTGTCCACAGTCGCTCATGAGTTGATAAAGAGTGAGTGCAGCCTTAGGTATTGGCAGGTTGAGGTCCCCTAATATAGTGGTAAATGACAATCTTCCTCATTTATATGCAGTTAATTTTTTTCTTTTTCAGAACAACTTAATAAGAACTAACTCTTTTACCTTTCTTTGACTTTGTATCATGCATTGTAGCTGGCTGTGCAACACACTTGCATACTGCTGAATAATTAACTATAGTGTTATAGTTTGGGTGACATCTGTGTAGTACAAAAATTTAAATAACTTATTTCAATATAGTGAATGTTAAAGGAAGGTCAGGATAGAGTCTGAGTGTATATACCAAATGGCCAGTTGAGTTACTTGGACCAAACAAAGTATACAGATGTTTTGTCTCAGTATTTATTGATTTAATAGTTTTGGGAATGTATAATTAACTACCCTGGAACTATTAGAAAGTCAACAAGAACTGAGAGTGGGGAGAAACTCCCATGAAATGAGGGAGCAGTTAGATAAATTAAATAAAGATATTCAGACGGCCTGCAGAAGAGATAAAAATACATATATTAGAAACGTATGTTTAGAAATAGAAGAACATGCTAATCACCATCAAAATAAAGATCTTTTTGCTAAACTCAGAAGACTGGCAAGAGAATTTAAACCTCAGACTTGGGTCATAGAAAGCAATTTGGGTGAGGAAGTAACAGAAATTGAGAAGATTTTGGATGTCTGAAAATTATATTGTCACAATCTTTTTCAAAATTTAGATGATGGTGATACCTGGGAGCCTGATATAAATTTGACATTAGAACTTGAAATTCTGCGGGATGAGGTGGAACCAGCTGTCCACATGTTAAAAAAGGGAAGTCTTGTGGGCTGGATGGAATCTCTTCTGAGATTCTGAAGGCCACGAGAGGCTAAGGAATAGATATCCTCCTAAAAATATGCCAAAATATATGGATTACAGGAAAATGGCCTGAAGATTGGACAGAATCCATCTTTGTTCCAATATATAAAAAAAGGATCAAAGAAGAAGTGTGAGAACTGTCGTTTAATAGCATTAATATCGCACGCCAGCAAAGTCATGTTCCAGATCCTACATAATTGTTTAAAGGCCTTTTTAGACTATCAAATACCTGAAGAACAAACTGGATTTGTTAAAGGCAAAGACACAAGAGAACAACTTTTAAATGTAAGGCAAATAGTTGAGAAGGCCAGGGAATTTAATACTTCGGTTTATCATTGCTTTTTGGACTATGAAAAGGCCTTCGATTCCTTGAAGTGGAGCCATCTCTGGTGAATACTTGCTTACATGGGTCTCCCTCCTCACCTGTCGAAACTGATAAGATCACTATACGATTCAAATGTGGCCATAGTAAAAATACAGGATAAGATCTCGAAAACATTCTGAGTCAAAGCCGACATTCATCAGGGATGTATCCTGTCCCCGTTGTTTAACATATATGGTGAATATGTTATGAAGATCACCCTGGATGGATGGGATAATAAACAATCTGCGATACGCTGATGACTCTATGTTGTTAGCAATATCCATGGAGAATCTGATGGAATTGATGGAGAGGGTGGAGAGGCAGTGTCATGAGGTAGGAGTACACCTAAATAGACAGAAAACAAAAATCATGATTGTAGACTGTCAAAACAATAATAGACCTGAAATAGGTCACATCACAGGTTGCGAAGTGGTCTCAAAATTCTTATATTTGGGCTCTCTTATCTCTAATAAAGGTGACTCCACCAATGAAATTAAAAGGCGAATCATAATGGCCAAAACATGCATGGTCAAACTGGCAAAGATCTGAAGAGACACAGGCATCATGATTAACACCAAAAAACGCTTGGATAACTCTTTGATTTTTTCAGTATTTAATTATGGAGCTGAGTTATGGACAGTGCGTAAAAAAAGACCACGATCGCATAGACGCCTTTGAAATGTGGTGTTGGAGAAGATTACTATCAATACCCTGGACTGCCCGTCAAACTAACATGTCAATATTGAATGAGCTCAGAATAGCGCATTGCTGATCTTCCAAGATCTATGACCGAATCCTGCGCTATTTTGGGCAGATTTATTTTTTATTTAGTGTTCTGTCTGACGACAGGTCCATATGAACAGGATCCTTCCATCCTTTTCTCGGACTGGGACCTGTTCATATACGTTCTTGGCAGATGATCCAGAAGCGGTTTGCCATTGCCTTCTTCTGTGTGAATGGAGTAATTGTTGGGATGCAACGGAGGAAAACTCCGTGTTGCCTAAACCACGGCCTTGCCCAACACAAGTTATAAATTCGGGCACCGCCGGGAATCGAACCCGAGACCCCAGGATTACAAGGCCAGCGTTCTAACCGCTAGACCACCGTGGCAGATTATGCGAAGAGAAAGTGGCCTAGAAAAACTGGTCGTGGAAGGCAAAGTCCAGGGTAAAAGGCCACGAGGAAGATGCCCAGCAAGGTGGATAGATCAAGTGAGTGTGCCCACTGGAAATCCGCTCTGAGATGCCACTATAAAAACACTGGACAGGGAAGAATGGCGGCAGGAGATTCGTCTGGTCCTGCAATTTGAGGTCACGACACCTCAGTCATGAGGCAGTACGATGAAGAAAAATTAACTAACTATATATTTCTTCACGTGAATGCAGAAAATATGGGTCCAACCCACCGTACCGTAGCGAAACAGTCAGAGAAGGTCTTTTTACCGAATTGCAATCTCATGGCTCCGGAGTTTGTACTCATACTAACAACTTATTTCCGATGAAAATACAAAAATTAGCTTGTTCCTCACTACAGCCTTTTACGGTTGTGACGCCATGAAAATTTTTCAGGCAGATACCAACATTTCGGATAAAAACCACTCATAGCACATCCATCCAACTTCAGCCCTGAAGATGGAAATTGCATGTTTATCCGAAACGCTGTCTTCAATCGAGAAGATTAACATCAGCATCTCCATCGCAGTGAGAACCAAAGATCTCACAGAGTAATTAAAAGGGTTAGATTTTTATTAAATATACCAACAACGCCACGGTGGTCTAGCGGTTAGAACGCTGGCCTTGTAATCCTGGGGTGTCGGGTTCGAATTTATAACTTGTGTTGGGCCAGGCCGTGGTCTAGGCAACCCGGAGTTTTCCTCCGTGGCATCCCACCAATTACTCCATTCACACACAGAAGAAGGCAATGGCAAACCACTTCTGGATCATCTGCCAAGAACGTATATGAACAGGTCCCAGTCCGAGAAAAGGATGGAAGGATCCTGTTCATATGGACCTGTCATAAGACAGAA